GTTGCTCAAGCCAAGCATCAAAGAATTTGAATGGTTTTGGGCCCCAATCTACCTTCTCATTCTTTAGTAGGATAGGGTAGTGATCCAACATTGATCTCCTTAAGCTCCACTACTTTACATAACTCCATTTTGTAATCCAATCTTTTGATAACAAGAATCTATCAATCCTACTCATATATTGTCCATTGGAATTGTACCAATTCTATTTTCTACCCACCAAAGGCAAATCAACCAGTCCAATGTTATGAATAAAATTGTCAAACTCCTTTATTTCTCTAGATATCCCATTACATCCTGCTCGTTCTTCTGCTCTTCTCACAGTGTTAAAATCCTCCACCAAACACCAATTCCCCCTTCTACTAGTAATCAGGCATTGCAGCTCTTCCCATAAAGCTCTCTTGCCCATCAATTGACAAGAGGAATAGGTATTTAGTATGGACATAGGTGTCTCCTCCTCTCCCCATAGTCCAAACACCCTAATCAAATTATCCCCCCTCTAAAACCTCTTTCTTCTTAAATACTTTAGAATCCTAAACAGACAACAAGCCACCAGACATGCCAATAGATGGCTTTGAAATCCAATCCGTATCCTCTGTCCCCTAGACCCTTCTATATGCACTTCGGTCCACTTCCTCCAACTTAGGGTCTTGGATTATTACTTTTTCTTTCATAATGAGTTCCATAATCTGTCTTTTTTTTCCCAACCCCTCCAAGTCCTCTAACATTAAAAGACAACAGTATCATTGGGATCTTTACATACCTTTCTAAGGCCATCATTATCTTGATTTGTCATGGTTGTTTTTGCTCATTTGTCCCCATTCTCTAGCTCCTTAATCCTTTGAATTACCTCATCATCGTCCTTTGCCATTGTGCTAAGCTGCTTCCTGAGATCCCAAATCTCTTTTGCCAGTCGATTTTGCATTTGTTTCTTTAGGAATTTGTTACAATTTTGAATTTCGTTATTACTAATTGAGTCACCTGCAATTTTCCTGTTTGGGCTCGATAGGAATTTTGGTGTTGATCTCTCCATTGTCGATTGCATGCTTTGTTTTCCTTTTCCTCTCATTCTTTTTTATCCCACACCTATAGGTTTTGTGTTTAGGTACACCGAGCTACATTTTCTAACTCTCCTTCTCTTCTTTTTAGAGGTCTCCCTTATCTACTTACTAATCCATTCTTCCAAGTGCCCTCTTTCACTTTCATATCCTTTCCAGAATATATCTTCACCTTCTTCTTTGGTACTTTCATCTCCAACTTTCTTGTTTCTAGAAGTGTCCTCTTTACTAATTGGATTTGGGTTTTTTTCCAATATGCTTACTTGGGCCAAACCCATATTTGTGGATTCCTCAAACTTTGGGCTTTCTACTTGTATAATGGGCTCCTCACC